TGTAAAAGAAGGAAACAAGGATGAGCCCTGTTGACAGAAATAACGTCAAGACTGTATGACAGATGAGATGGATCAATTCAGTGATTGGGGTAACGGGAGTAGGTGTGTCGGAGACAGTGAGGTTGGCACAGGATAGAGCAGGGTTTAGGACTCTTGTATATAGGGTTGCTATGAGTCACAAGCAGCTCGATGGCACATAACAACAACAACTGACTACTCATAGCTGATTTCCAGGGGGGTTTCAGAGTCAACAAATTACACAGGAAGAGATTGTCCATCTTTCTCCCACAGAGCAGCTGGTGGATTTAAATTACGTGCCTTTGGGTTAGCAGCACAGAACCTTACCATTAGGCCATCAGAGCTCCCTAAATTTTACACTTCAAATGACTTATGCATTGCAAATAATTTTTAATAAACCATAAATGGTATAGTACATGGCATTAAGCTGAGTGAAATAACTCAGTCACAAGATGGCAAATACTATATAAGACTACTGTTATTTAAAAATAGTGTGGTTATAAAGTGAATGAAGAGTAGGAAATTAATAAATGGATAATGATCACTTTATTAGAATAGATGAAGGGGAAGTCAATGTGAAATGAATGGATGATCAGACATTGTGTGTACTGCAATTAACAAGGTGGAACAGGATAAGTATGACTGATTAAAGGGAAAAAAGCTAAGGAAAGATTTGCATACAGATAGAAACAATTGTGGAGGAATGACAAAGAGGAGAGAAGAGATTAGCTGAAAGGTAGGTAAGGTAAAGAAAAAGGCAAGGTGCAATGAGGATTTAATAACGTGTTGTAATAAACGGCATTTATTAAAATCACTTGTAACTATAATCATACAAATATGTATAAGAATAAGCTAAAACCAATAAAAAAGAAGTGAAAAAAATGACTCTATAAATATGAACTTCTCTGGTGATACACACAGAAATCAAATCTACTGTATCTGTGGAAAGAGACAGTAGAGAGGCAAATTTAAACTGAAGCTGAAGAAAATGAAAACAATTTCATAAGAATCAAAATATGACCTTGAGTATATCCTACCCAAATTTAGCAACCATCTCAAGAATACATTTGCTGCACTGAACAATAGTGATTACATTCAGACAAGTTGTGGGATGACATTAAAGACTGCATACATGAAGAGAGCATAATGTCACTAAAAAGACAGGTAAAAGAAAAGAGCAAAACAGACGTCAAGAGAGACTCTAAATTTTGCAGTAGAACACAGAGAAAAGTGAAAGAGAGAAATGCAGATGTAAAATAACTGAACAGGAGATTTCAAAGGGCTGCTCGTATTATAATAAAATGTGCAAAGACCTAAAGTTAAAAAACCAAAAGGGAAGAAAAGCTCAGTATATCTTAAGCTTGAAGGCATTGGAGAAAAATGCAAGCTTTGAGTTTCTGTATTGAAGGGTCCTATTGGGAAAATATTGAGTGATGCAGGAAGTATCAAAAGTAGATGAAAGGAATACAGAGTCATTGTATCAGAAAGAACTGTCTGATGCTAAACTATTTTAGGAAATAGTATACTTGTTACAGAGCAATACATTATGAAATGTGAATTGTAAAGGAGGCTATAGAAATTTCTCTATATATCATAAATTATAGTTGAATATAAGTTGGAGTGAATAGCAATTTTTGCTTCATTATTTAAGAATATACTAAACAAAGGTTTAACAAAGAAGTAAAAACCAAATAGTCCTGAATAACTTACTTCCCAGTCAAATTTTTACCACTTCTCTTCTTCCACAATAAGAAAGATTTAATACTTTTGAAATGTAAGTCATTAGCATAATCAATGTAAAGTTTGGAATTTTTTTAAAAAAAAACATTTATAGGATTTGTTGTTTTTATATGCCGTTGAGTTGCCTGCAACCCATAGCAACCCTATTGAAGTAATTGCAGCTCTGAGCCCAGCCCTGTCCTGAGCCAGTCTCACTAATTCTGACACACCAACCCTCATTGTGTTAGTTACTGTGTTGATCTAACTAATACAGGGTTTTCCTTTCCTGCGCTGTCCCTCCACCCTTCCAAGCATGTTGTTCTTCTCCAAGGACCATCTCTTCTGGCCACATGTGCAAAGTATGTGAAACAGAGCTTCAAAATCCTAGCCTCCAAGGAGAAACTCGGTTTTATCATCTCCAAGACAGAACTATTTGTTTTCTTGGTGGTCCATGGTATGTTTAAGATTCTTCTCCAGCACCACAACTCAAAGGCATCAATTCTTCTGTCATCCGTAGTCATTGTCCAACTCTCTGATGCACAGCAAGTAATTGCGAAGACCATGGCCTGGATTAGGTGCACCTTAGTCTCTAGACTGACATCACTGCTTTTCTGCAATCTGGAGAGATCCCTCCCTGACATCAGATTTTCCCAATGCAATTGACTCTTTCTCTAAATCTGATGCCACATTGCTCTTCAGAAAGCCCTGCTTTCAAATCTGTTTTGCATGTAGATTGTGGACAGGATGCATCCCTGATGCACTCCTTTCCTGATTTTGAACTATACTGTGTTTCCCTGTTCTGCTCGGAGAACGGCTTCCTGGTTCAAGTATAGGGTACATATTTCAATTTTTCAAAAACGAATGTTCATAATTTACAAAATCACATGGAATTATTCATTCCATATACTTATATATCTGTTTTTGTATGCATCTTGGTATGAGACTCTTGACAAATTTGAAAAGTAATACATTGTTCTTAAATTTGCATAGAGCCCTATCTTTTACAAAGCAATTTCAAATAACAGTCATTTTGATGTGTCACATAATAAAACGGATGTATAGGTGGATAAGTTTTAAACACTGACATTAAAATATATTTCAAAATTCAAAGCCATTGTTATGGAGTCTGAACTGACACTCCAGCAGGTTTCTGAGGTTATAAGTTGCATGGAGGAGATCGCTATCTTTCATGCACAGACTTTCTGGTTAACTAGAACTTCCAGAGAGGTGACAGCTTCAGGTTAGAGTAACTTCCTGTGGACTGTGTTGTGTAGCATCTAGTCAGAACCAAACCATAGTTGACCCCCTTGGGGTTTTCAGAGGCAGTTAATTTCACAGGGGGAGATTTTTCCTCTTTCTCCCTTGGAGCAGCTAGTGGAGTCAAACCATGTGCCTTTTGGATTGCAGCACAGTTTCTTACCACTAGGCCACCAGGACTAGGCCACCACATATTAATACTCAAAGGAATTTTCTGTAGGACATGCTAAATCTTTCTCTTTTTTTGGCTCTCATTGCTACCGAGTCCGGAACTGACGCTTAGCTGATTCTTCAGCAGGTTTTCAGAGGCTTTGAACTTATGGAAAGAGATTGCCCATCATTGTATCATGGAACCTCTAATAGATTCAGACCACCTGCCTATGAGTCGGCAGCACAACTCCTTATTGACCAAACACTGTAGTTCCCTATGCTAACCCTATTGTTAGGTGCCTTCAAGCCTGTTAAGAATCATAGTGACCTTATGAATGACAGATCTGAACCCTTGCTCTATCCTGTGCCATCCTCACCATCTCTGACATATTCCAGCCCATTATTACAATGTCTGTGTTAATCCATCCTGTTGAGGTTCTTCCGTTCTTTCTCTAACCCTCCAATGTGTGTAAGACTAAGTTTCACCATCTTGTTATTTTGTCATTGGGTCACCTATGGCTCATAGAGACCCCATGTACAATAACTCTAAAGACTGCCCTATCCTGAGCCAGTTTCACTGACTGAAACATCTACCCCATAACCCCAGTTACTATGTCAATCCATCTTATCCAGGGTCTTCCTCTTCTGCACTGTCGCTCCACATTCCAAGCATGATGCCCTTCTCCAAGGATTGGTCCTTCCTGGCCACATACCCAAAGTATGTGAGAGGGAGTTTCAAAATCCTTGCCTCAAAAATTGTGCCAAGAGTGTTAATTGTCGAGCAGAGCAAGCTGTAATTGGTAACAACTTCAATCTCTTCTCCATCTCTATCATGGTGCTGCCAATTTGCCCAGTGGTGAGAATCTTTGTCTTCTTGATGTTGAAAGTTGGTTTCTCTTTCTCCAAGACAGACCTGTTTGTTCTCTTGGTGGTATGTTCAATATTCTTCTCTGGCACAGCTCAAAGACATTGATTATACTTCTGTCTTCCTTAGTTATTGTTCAGCTTTCTGATGTATAGCAAGTAATTGTGAAGACCATGTCCTGGATTAGGCGCACCTTAGTCTCTAAACTGACATCGTTGTTTTTCGATACTCTAGAGAGGCCCCTGACAGCAGATTTTCTCAGTGAAATTCATCTTTTGATTTTCTGACTGCTGGTGCCAAGAGCGTTGTGAACCTGAGGAAGCTGTAATTGTTAACAACCTCAATCTCATTTCCATCTACCATGGTGCTACTAACTGCTCCAGTGGTGAGAATCCTTATCTTGATGTTGAGCTTCACTCCGTATTAAAGACTACAACAGCACTTGACTTAGGGAGGGGGGAAAAACCCCAACAAACAAACGTTTAAGTTATCTATTCTAAAAATCCTCCTCTTAGTTCTTTCCCCTTATCCAGGCTAGAAATAGAGCTTACCAAAAAAGGAAACCTGCCAAACTGATTCACTCAACCTTGGACTTTAGGACAGAGGAAAGAAAAGGGCAGGTCAGAAAGTAAGGTTATGTGTATTGAGTAGAACAAGAGCCACAAATTCAAAATAAGTTGGTAGTCTCTAAGTGGTAATTTCCTCTGCTCCTATGATTCAGAGTTGAGTAAACTTCACTTAACTTTTGTTTTTGCAAACAGTGAGATTCTGAGCCATGAACTGTGGCACTTACAAATCAAAAACACAGCCAGAACTGGACTGCTTGGGGCCTGAGGGGGTGGGGTGGGCGGAGCTTGGGCGGGGTCTGGGCGGGGAGCTTTGCTGCCGTGCTGGGCGGGGCCTGGGCGGGGCCTGACGCGCGGGAGATTTGAACAAAGTGGTTTTCTTTTCTAGGCCTTTCAGTTGGTGAGCCACAGTGCTGTTTTCAGAGATGGTAGAGGGTCCCGGTTGTACTTTAAATGGAGAGAAAATTCGAGCACAAGTGCTGCTGGGCCAGGCGGTGATGGACATGAGGGGAAGTGCTCTACAGGGCCTGGCGGGTCAGGACTTGCCACCCACAGCCCCGGGTGCTGCCATTTCTTCTCAGGTGAGTCACTACTATTAATTTTTCACAAGGCTAGCAGATGAAAATGAAATAAAGTTATCGCAGGTATCAACAGTCCATAGTGTCATTTCTGTGCTATGGTCCAGGTTTTCTGATAGCTTGCATTTCCCAAAGTTTATCTTGACTTGGAAAGAGGAAGTAGAGGTCCCAGTGTGCAGGGACCTTTTGCTAGTAGACCTTAGTAGAAGTACTGGGCTGTAGCTGCTAGACTAAAATACAGTTGGGAGTTATTTGAGGGGATTTTATTTCATGTCATCTTGTTTAACTTCTTCATAACAGCAAAATGTGGTTTCCTTGTGTCTATAGTTGTAATGTTTTGCTATTAATATTACCAGAGCTCTACAAAAGCTTAGCATTTTTTTCCCCAGTCACTGTCACATTTTTAGGGCAATAGGCTTTTAAATTCTAGCTTCTTGCTTGCCTGATATTCTACAATCGATAAGCATTTCACAGCTAATGTATAATTCTAAAATTGCACATAGAAAATTTTGCACTAACCTTCGCATTCAACTTAATATTGCTATCTAATGAAGGGGCAGTGAAATTCAATTCTGGTTCCTGTAAGTGAATTTATTTCTCTTTAAAATAAATTGAAGCACAGCTTCTTGCCACTCAGACATTCATTTGGTATAAACTTAGAACTTCCACTGAAAATATTCTGATTAAGTCATCACGCTTTAAAAGCTCTTCAGATGTTTGAGTGATTGTATTTCATGGAAGTATGCGATATTGTACAACATTTTATATTGCAGAGCATCCTCATACATAGCCTTTGGTCCTGGAAGAAAAAGTTGTCAGCTATAAAATTAACATATGCTTACAACTTGAAAGAAATGATTGTCCAAGTCTGAGAAAATACATCTTCTAACTTAAAATGAAACTAAGTTTTGAATCTCCTATTGCCTTTTTGTTTTATTTATTTTGACTTTATGTCAGCAAATACTCTCTATTCCTATTCTTTGCAGTACTGTTTCTCAAAATTGTCTCAGGGTACCACAGAGAGAGATCTTGAGTTGATGTCTTAAGAATATTAATGTTTATGGAAAAATCACTTATTCAACAGAATTGTGAATACTTAAGGCGCCTAGGGAACACATGAGGTGCGAAAACAAACATTTCCTCTCTCTTATACTTTAGTTGGGGCAATACACAGACATGCATAAAAAGAATAGCATAAAGAAATAGATATTGATATGCATTCAGAAGGAAAGGCACCTGGAACTTACAGGAAGAACTTTTTGGAAGGTCAAAGAAAGTTTCCCTGGGGAAGTGATAATTGAATTTATCTGTGAAAAATGAGTAGGATGTGCAGAATCTCACCCTAAAGATAGCTAGCAGAAAGATAACAAAGAGAGCATATAAGATATATGAGAGGCTGAAAAAAAAACCCAAACCCATTGTGAATGGAAAGTGGAGAATGAGATGGAAGGAAATCAGGAACTAGTTGCTGTCAAGTTAAATCAGATTTATGGTCGTTTTGGATTCATAGCAGCCTCATGTGTGGAAATCTGTGCTCCATAGGATTTTTCTGTCTGATCTTTAAAAGTAGATTGCTGGACATTATTCTTGAAGCACCTCTGAGTAGACTCAAACCAACAACTGTTAGCTTAGCGGTCAAGTCAGGTAACTGTTGGCTTCACCTAGGAACTTGAAGATATGAGGGAGAGTGTTTGAAATATGACTGGTGGCTAGAACCCAAACAATTGTAGATCAGTTTTGGGACCTCATCACTTAATCTGAGAAGTAATGGTAGTCATTAAAGTGTAATGAAATCCAATTACACTTTCAAATGAACGAAGACTTTACCTTGTAAAGAGAAAATTCCAGAGTTTTAGTTTGCTCTGTCAGTTAAGAGACAGCTGCAAATCATCCAGGGCATGGATGTCTAGAGCCTGGCCTCATGTTCTAGGGGTGGACATGAAGAAAAGGAAACAGAATCACTATTTCAGATGTAAAGGAACTGGGACTTGGCTCAACTTACCCTTACTGCTGTGGAGTTAGTTCTGATGGCATAGGTAATAGCTCCCTTGAATATATTTATGGCTATCATAATTTACATTTCTCTACAATAATATAGTTTGTGTAAGGCCCTATACTAGCTCCTAGAGTGATGAAGATGAGTAAAATAAGGTTCCTGAAATGAAAATCCAACCTAGTACATTAAATAAACACTATTTTTTGTATTTAGACCAAAAAAACCCGAATACTTTCCTTTTTGGTATTTTGTGATTATCTAGTGGCAAGATATAAAGTGCTTTTGGAATCCTTTTACAAATTTATCTCACTCAGTCCTAAGAAATAATAACAACTCTTTTAAAAAATGTTCTCCACCCCTTAATTTTATATATGTAATAGGTAGTATGTAGTAATACTTATTCATTAACTAGAAAAGTGCAATGGTGGATTTTTTACTGTTTTCCCTCTACCACATTCTTTGTTTTGATTCAGTGACCATAAGGTTTCTGAGGCTACAAATCATCTTAATAAGATGACTGCTTCATCTTTCTTCCATGTAGTGGCTAATAGATTCAGACTTTCGGTTAGCAAGCAAATATGTAGCACAGGTCACCACCTGGGGTCCTTGCTCTTTTTAGTTAGGTTTAATGTCTCCATTTTAAATTTTCTTATTCAATTTTCTTATTCACTGTAAAGACTTTAATTACCATGTTCAGAATGGACAGTAGGGTAGTGTGATATAATATAAATGCAATCTTAATGATTGGATAGTTATTAACTTGGTAAATACCCAAATAAACTATGCTCCACAAGTAAAAAGTTAAAGAGTTAAAAAGTTAAAGCTATTATGTTTAATATCTTGACAGACAAGAACATTATTAAACAGGTAGTTATTTGTAATTTAGGTCCAGGAATCTGGTTCTATGAAAACTGGATTTGAAACTTAATGCAGAATTCCATAATTTCTTTGCGGCTGTTACTAAAGCTCCAGATATTTTGCCATAACTTAGTTTTCTGAAGTCATTGATCTGAAAACATAACCTTGAAGGGTCTTTTGCATTTTAGAGGGATGTTGGAACCGTAGTAAATTTCATCAAAACATGAGAGGTTGTCATAAGATTCAAGCAAGATCATTAATGTAACAAGGAGATTCCATGTTTCCTAGACATTTATGGTAGAACCTTAAACCTATTTAAATGTTTCTGCTACTGGCTTGAAATGATTAGTTTTCGCATGCCAGCATTCACAAATAATTGAGACAAGAAAACATCATCTTGCTTACTTTGAACACATCATCCAGAATAATCAATCCTTATAAAGGGGGATCATGTTTGGTAAAGTTGAGGGTCATTGAAAATGAGGGAAACTTTTAATGAGATAGACTGACACAATATGCATAATAATAAATTCAAACATATCAGTGATTATGAAAATGGTGAAGGACCAGGCAATGTTTTGTTCTGTTACACATAATGTCACAAGTCAGAGCAGATTTGTTGACAGCTGACAATAACAACATATATTGCACATTGCTATAAACATGAAAAAATTGCAAAGGAGAGTTTTGTTGCTGTTATTGTTGTGAAGTACCACTGAATAGACCTCGATTCATAGCAACCCTATGGATAACAGATTGAATGAATCCTTGCCATGTCTTGGGATTTCCTTACAATCTTCACCATGCTTGAGTGTGGTTTTGCAGTCACTGTGTCAATATATCTCTATTTGGGTCTTCCTCTCTTTCATAGACCCTCTCCATTCTGAGTATTTTGTCGTTGTCCAAAGACTGGTGCTTCCTGACAAAAATATTATTTGAAAACGAAAAAATATTTCTCAAACTTATGTGATGATTGCACTAAACATTTAAAAAGTGTCTCTTTTGTGGCTGCTTTACGTGAACACACTATTTGCCATATATTTTTCCAGTCTAAAGTCTTTAGAAAATACACCTTAATGATACTTCCTGTGTCAACGGATCTTCATCTTCAAGAAAGTCTAGATAAAACCCCAGCATCTGCTAGTCATGCATACATTGTATTATTTTTTCAGTTTTGATCACTAAATTATGCATGTGTATAAGCACATTCTGTAAAACTCTGCTGGAGCTTGTGGAACCTTAAGGTAAGAAACAACATTAGAATATAAATGAACATGCTTGGTTAATAAGCTATGAAGAATCAATCATCCCATTGGTAGATGGATACAATATTTTAGTGAAATTCTGTATGTAATTTGCATGTATTTTAAGTCTAAGGTGTCAGAACCCTTACAGATTGGCTCTTTTAGTCATTGTACTAACCCTCATGGAGGGGTGCTGGGCATGGGCTTGAGCTACTTAAACTGAGAACACATGATCTTGCAAATCATCAATAGCTGTGGAAGGAATATAAGAGAGTGATTTCCACACTGTCAGAAAAGACAGTGACATTGATAGAGGACTGTAAAGACACTGAAAAATAGTGGTGGAGGGAGTGTTAAGAGATTATGGCACTGCTGTGAGAAAAACCTTGGAGATGGAACTACAGTTAAAAGTTTTACTTACTGGATGATTGAAGGAAAAGCTGACTTGTAACTGCTCTGACCTAAAGCTGCCTGGATGATCGAAGAAACCAGAGGCTTCTTGCAATTGTGCTGCTGAACTGAAACCTGACTGTTGGAATACACTTGGACTTGTATTGTTGATGTTCTTTGCCTCACCCACTGCTCAAACTATTTTGCTAATAAACCCTACAACTAAGGGTAAAAATCTATGAGTCAAGTTACAATGAATATTGGACAGAATGATTGATAGAAATAGGTGCGGTAGTATATAGGGTGGCATGCTTGACTATATAGCTATTTGTATGATGGTATGGATGTTTCCATTTGGAGAACTGCCAGATATGTAGGCTGGGTTTAGAAGAGGCCATAGCACTAGGGATATTATAGCCAATGTTAGATGCACCTAAGCTGAAAGCAGAGAGCACCACAGGAATGTCTATCATGTTTCATTGACTATGCAAAGGCATTTGACTGTGTTGATCACA